TTGGAAGGCAGAGGCAGGTAGATATCTGGAGTTTGATATGTGTGAGAGGGTTTCAGGACAGCCATGACTGTTTCACAGAGAAACCCTGTCTGAAAAGAAAAAAAAGGAAGGAAGGAAAGAAGGGAGGAAGGTATGGAGGGAAGGAAGAAACGAAGGAAGGAAGGAGGGAAGGAAAAAAGAAAGAGCTGGGCAGTGGTGTCATACATCTGAAAGATTTTAGTTTGCAGAGGAAGGATGTAGGAAAGAAAATAATTCTTGCAAGTGGAATATAGAAAAATCATAAGAAATGGACGTTGACATTGGAGGAAAAAATAGGAATTATGAGAACAAGAAGAGTTACTATGGTGATGGGGCTAGTGGTTATATGCTAGGCTGATCTTGTTAAATAGGGCTAGTTACTAAATCATCAAATCTTTGTGGAATAACTGAAGGCTCTAAATATACAGCCAAGAGAAAGCCAGAGTATGAAAAAAGTTTCTCTCAGGTCTTGGCCCACAACAAGGAAATAGGCCCCCAATCCTGGAACAAATGATTCCAGATGAGCTGCCCTGTCTGGGTCAGTCCTGGCCAACAGACAGTCTGGGGACTTTCCAAGTCATTCTATGGTTTATCCTTTGAATAAGAACAGGTCATACCTGGGTGATCTCTCAAACATGAGATCATACTTTGTAATCAATCACCTTGTGCCCCATGCATGTATGCTGATTTGTGGTCTTCTCTATAAAAGGAGCCTGAACCCTCGGGGGGGGGGGGTGAGCAGCTTTCCCCAAGATTGCTGTCACCTGAGTGCACACGTTCAATAAACACCTCTTGCTTGTTGCAACTCCTAGTTTTGGTGTTTGTGTCGCGGGGCTCTCCCATCGGCCCATCAGGACCCCGGAATTAGGGTTCAACACATCTTTAATCCAGCACTGGGAAAGCAGGAGGATCTCTGTGAGTTGAGGCCACATAGCTAGTTCTAGGACATCCAAGGCTACCAAAGAAACCTATCTCAAAAGAAAAGAAAAAGAGAGAGGAGAGAGAGAGAGAGAGAGAAGAAAAGAAAGAGAGAAAGGAAGAAAGAAAGAAAGAAAGAAAGAAAGAAAGAAAGAAAGAAAGAAAGGAGAAGGGGAGAAATGTCTGGCTTTTTTCCATGTGTTGGAAAGCCTGCATTAAAAACAAAACAAAACAATGCATTTAATTCCAGGACTTGGGAGGCAGAGGCAGGCTCTGTGAGTTCAAGGGCAGCTTGGTTTACAGAGCAAGTTCCAGGACAGCTAGGGCGTAGGGCTGTTACACACAGAAACCCTATCTCAAAAAAAACCAAACCAAACAAACAAAACCCACCACAAATCTGATCTTCGCCTCCATGAAGTGGAAAGCTATGGGGTGGAAGGTGAGCATCACAAAGCCGGAGAGGGTATGTGCTCCACCAGAATTGGAGCAGAAGTCAGCAGGAATGCTGAGTGGATAACAAAACTGCTTCCAGACTCGTGTCTGGAACAATATGATAACAGTAGGGAACGGTGTGATAACAATAAAACACTGTGTAATTAGATAAAGAAAAGTTAATAAAGTCAGCAGATACTGGAAGGCAGCCACGCTCTGGTAGGTAAGAGACGTAACATGTTGAGAAGACAGGCTGCAAGAATTGTTTGTGTTATTTTTACAACTTGAGGGCAGCCAAGAGCCTAGTGGGAAGCAGACCAAAAGAGAAAGTGTCTATTTACTGCTGCCTTGGAGGAGAAGACGGATCTAGATGGGCCGCTTACAAATGTAAATGTTTCTTCTATTGCTTACTAAAACACAAAATCCATGCACAAATAGTAAAGGACAAAAGGGGGAACCTCAGCCGAATCACAGGCCAGCTACGTCTCTGGAAATGGCTGAGCAACCTCACGCTCTACCTTCTCTCTCTCTCTCTCTCTCTCTCTCTGTCAGACCCATCCCCAGTGTAAAATCTGCCTCTCGGACTAAAATGCTTTTTCCAGTTAGATATGGGACCATAACAGAATTCCTGTAACATGTAAATGTGGCTGTAATTGAGGTGGGAGCTTGCTTGGTCTGTGTTTGGTCTACTTTGAAGTAAGGTCGGGGAGAAGGAGGGTTTGGTTGGCAAACAAGGGAGACATCCTAAAAGAAACGATGGAGCCTCTGCCTCCTGTCCCTCCATGAAGAAGCTTCTTCGCTGTATCATTCTACTTCTCAACCAGCGCAGAAACACGGAGCCAAGTGCACGGACTGAATCCTCTCAAGCCACAGGCCTAGATAAACAGTCCATGCTTTGTTTCTGTCGAGTGTGTGAGCTCAATGATTTTTCCAGTGGAGTTTTCCATTGTCCAGGCAGCATCTGGTCGGGGTCAACATAGCCCAGTATCTCCTAATCCAGTGTAAGTGTAGTATGTGCATATTTAACATGTGAAACCTTATCGTACTGCTTATCTGTCATGCGGCAGCCAGGTCGGGGAGAGATGCCCTTCCCCACAAACCCAGCTGGTCCATGCCTGAGGCAAATGGAAGAGCTAGCCCTGAGTCCTTGCCCCTCATTAGCTGCACAGCTTGGGGGAGTGACCCCTACACCTCACCTGGGCAACACTACTGTGTTGCCACTGAGCTGGCTCTCCCTGAAGGTGTAATGTGGGAGAACGGACCCCAAGGACACGAAAGCCAGAGAACTGGCCCCGTCCCCTGCTTTTTCTCTGCAAGGGGCAAACCAGCCTGAGCAATGCTGGAGACCTCACCCTGGTGAAGACAGGGGGGAGTTGGTGCACTGACCAACCCTGCAACCAACTACCAAGACCCAGAACCAGGGTTATACATAGGCTAACCCCAACATCCACCACGCCATCTGTTATCTGCTAGAGAGGGGCGGGGGTGAACCCAGGGCTGCAGGATACAGGGCAGCAATGGGATGTCCAGGAAGAGTCCCTGGAAGGGCCTGGTGTTGATGGTGCAGACCAGGGCGTCAAATCAGAACAAAGATTCTTCGTAATGAATGCCTGAGTGTAAAAATGTATAGGGAGGGGCTGGAGAGACGGCTCAGCAGTTAGGAGCACCTGCTGCTCTTCCAAGGGTTCTGAGTTCAACACTGAGCAACCACGTAGTAGCTCACAACCATCTGTAATGAGATCTGGTGACTTCTTCTGGCCTGCAGGGACACATGCAGGCATAACACTGCACATAATAAATAAATGAAATCTTAAAGAAAAAAGAGACAAAAATGTATAGATAAAATGGTTTACTGCACAGAAAAAAAAAAAACTTATTTTAAATTCCAACACAATAAACACTTGTCAAAAAGAGTTTTCCAGCTGGGTAAGGTGGCTCATAGCTGTAATCCTGGCACTCAAGTGATGGGAGATACCATTATGTATATATGTTTCTCATACTTGTTAATGAATAAAGCGCTGTTGGCCAATAGGAAAGGAAGATAGGAGGGACTAGGAGACAAGGAGGAAAGAGGAAGTAGGAAGGAGGGGTCAGCATGGAGAGTCTGGAGAAGGCAGAACCGCCAGCCGCCTCTCCCTGGTAAGACCACGTGGAAATACACAGAAATGGGTTAATAATTAAGACAGAGCTAGCCGATAAGAAACAAGTAACTAGTCAACAGCATTATATCAAATACAGAGTCTCGGTGTGTTATTTGGGGCTGGCGCGGTGGCGGCAGCGGTACCTGACCAGCAGCGGGCAGAAAAACCTTACTCCTTACACTCAAGAGGCTGAGGCAGAAGCATTTCTGCAAATTCAGGCTATTTTCAGCTATAGAATGAGACTCTTTGTCTCCATAACACCAAAATTAATTCTTGATTTTTTTTATTTTTTAATTTGCCAGGGGCCTGGGATTGTAGCTTAGGAGTAAAGAACTTGCCTGGCATGTACAAAGACATGGGTTTAGTACCGTGCACTAAAAGCAAAAAACTAAAATATTGGGGGGAAATTAGCACTTTAATCTACAAATTTGGGGACCTGGGGAGATGGCTTAGTAGGTCTTACTGGTATCTATCCTAGAGGACCTCAGTTTAGCTCCCAGAACCCTCATGGTGGCTCACACCCATCTGTAACTCCAATTCCAGATGATCAGATGTCCTCTGCTGACCTCCTCAGAGAGCTAGGCCTGCAAGTGATACACAGATATACATACAAGCAAAACACTCATACATATAAACAAAGTAAGTTGCCCGGGGCCAGCCAGATGTCTCAGTGGGTAACATGCTTGCCTCTAAGCCTGCAGCCTGAGTTCAAGCCCTGCGACCCACTGGATGCACAGAGAATATCAACTCGTGAAAGTTCCACAAGCATGCTGAGGCATGTTGTGCCACCCCTAAAATATATAATCATAGCAGCTGAGTGATGGTGGCACACACCTTTAATCCCAGCACTTGGGAGGCAAAGCCAGGTGGATATCTGAGTTTAAGGCCAGCCTGGTCTACAGAGGACAGCCAAAGTTACACAGAGAAACCCTCACTGGAAATATCAATAAATATAACAATCTAACATATATATATATATATATATGTGTGTGTGTATATATATAATGTGTGTGTGTACATTCATATAAATATATATATATATATATATATATATATATATATATATATATATATTTCTGAGTGTGGTAGAATGAACCTATGCTCACAGCACAGCCATAGGAAAGAAAAAGGACGTGGTGGGGGGGGGGATAAAAGGGGGATGGGATGGAGATGAGAAGAAAGAGACATGAGGGTCCAAGGGGTTTTCAAAGTAAGGTAAAGTCACTAACATTAACTGAACATCATTTACCATAGATGTCAGTCACTGCTTTTAATCCTTCAACAACCGTAATAATGTGTTATCAAACCATTCTACAATCAAAGAAAATACAGTGGTATTGTCCACTCCCCTCAGAGGTCTAGGAGTGGACCCAGCAGGAAGCCACAGAGCAAAAAGATGAAGAATGGTTAATCTAGTACAGTCTGGAGGCCTGGAACGTTCTGCATTGGCCTGTCACCAAGGACCCTGGCTTCGCTGCCCGTATCCAGGCAGTCTCTTCTCATCCCACGTGGCTACATCCAGTTTTGCTGGGGCAGGAGGCCAACAAAAGCAGATCTCCTGCTATGCCGGTCAAAAGCAACTAAGATGCCCAAGCAGACGAGGACCAGGCCGGCCAACCCCATACGAATAAGGTTTCCCTGAGTATAGTCTGAGGAGCCAGAGCCTGTAGGACAAAGAGAGGGAGACAGGGTTGTTTGTTGGTCATCCCAGAGTTTCGACGCTCTTCTGTGTATCTGAGACCCAGGTGGAGTTGTAGACTCAACTCCCAAGTCTCTAAGTTGAGTGGGGTTGATTGATGCTCCTGGACCCTTGGGTCTGAAGAAGGACCAGAACGCCTCACCTTCGGAGCTGATGACCAGTGGCTGGCTGCGCTGCGACAGCACATAGGGGGCAGAGGGCGTGTGGTAATAGCAACTGTAGGTGCCCGGGGCACTGGCGCCGATCAGAGGGAAGTCAGCCCAGGGCTGCACAGAGTCGATGTACTGCAGAGGGGTCGCCACGCCCACACGGTACAGCGCAAAACTCATGCCCGGCATGCGGCCTGCACAGCGCAGGCTTACGTTAGCTCCTGGGGCCACCACAGGCCCAGGCAGTGCCACCAGTGATGGCCTGGGCAGCTGAGCTGTGGGACATAAGTAGGGTCTTGGGTAGGCTGGTCTCTCTTCGTCCTCCCCTTCCTCCTCTGCCTCTCTTCCCATCCCCCAGACTCACCCTCCTCTTCTTCCCATATGTCCAAGAGGCTCTCAATCGACCTGTCTCGTCTCTCTCCCCGTGTCTCTCTTCCACACCACTCCTACCCTTCACCTTAATCTCACTCCTGTGCCCGTCTCCCCATCCCTCCCGGACCTCACCTGTCACCAGCAGTTCCAGGACACTGCTGGACCGGGACCAGACACCCGGTTCCCAGTCTGTCCTGCGATAGCGGCAGTAATAGCTGCCCCCCTGGGCCGGAGTCACCTCCTCCAGGAAGAACTCAGCCTGCTCCGTGGACACGTCCCGGAAGTGCAGGGGGGTAGCAACACCAGTTCTGAAGAGTGCAAACCTCCGGGCAGGTTGGGGTGCGCGGCACCTCAAGGTCACGTTGACTCCAGGAGTTACAATTGCAGCAGGGTTAGCCCCTAGCCATGGCTGGGGGTATGAGGCTGGGGGTGCTTAATAAAGAAAAATGCTTAGGTTCTCAGGATCCTTCATTCCAGCAGCCTCGGGAGACTAAGTGGAAGGTGGGTAGGCACCCATCTCTCTTGATCTTAAATCTCAATAAAGGAGGGGAGGGCCCAGAGTACAATTACAGCTGGCCCAAACTAGCTGGAAATTACAGTACTCTAACTTTGAGCTTTTTTGTTTTGTTTTTCAAGGCGGGGTTTCTCTGTGCAACAACTCTAGCTGTACTGGAATTTGGCTCTGTAGGCCAAGCTGGCCTACAATTCAAAGAGATCCACCTGCCTCTGCCTCCCTCCTGAGTGCTGGCATTAAAGGCTTGCACAAGCATTCCTGTTATGATAAAGCATGAGGGGAACTTTGCATGGGGGACCTTGGTGGATTCCATGGCGGGAGAGGTTGGCGGAGGCTGAGGGAGAAATACTTCAGGCAGACAGAGCTTAAGTGAGAATGTTTATTAGAATGGGGAGGGAGGGGGAAGGAAAGAGGAAAAAGAGGTAAAGAGACAGAGAGAGGACAGGGGAGACAGGAAAAGTCCTGTCTGCCCCAGGGGAACTGTGGGGAAGAGAGTAGAGGGGACCCCTCCCTCATCTTACAATCCTCCTCCCCTCAAGTACCAAGAATGTCCACCTCTAACTTTGAATTTTTTGTTATGGAATATTTGTGTCTTTGCCAAGGCATGTTCTGATTGGTTTAATAAAGAGCTGAATGGCCAACAGGTAGGCAGGAAGTGGTAAGGAGGGACTTCCAGGGACAGAGAGGACTCTGGGAAAGGGAAAAGTGGCCACACCATTAAGACTCGGAAGAGTCGGGGACACAGAATGGGAGAGATAAAAGCCACGTGCCAGACCATAGATTAATAAAAAACATGGGAAAATTTAATTTATAAGAGCTAGTGGGACAAATCTAAGCTAATGGCTAAGCTTTCATAATTAATAAGAAGTCTCTTTGTCATTATTTGTGAACTAGCAGCCCAAATGAAGGTCTGACTACAGCTTTTACCAGTAGTTATTTGTTTGTGTGCCAAGGATTGAACCCATGGCCTTATGCATTGTGGGTAATCACTCACTCTACCACTAAGATACAGCCTCAAACTGCCTCTGTAATTTTTTTTTTTTTTTTTTTTTTTTTTTTTTTTTTTTTTGAGACAAGGTATCGTGTAACCTTGGCAAGCCTTGAACTTGCTATGTAGTACAAAATGACCTTGACCTTCCGATCCTCTTGGATTATAAGCATGCGCCACCATCAGGACCACCCCCTCCCCTCCCCATCTATGTAATACCAGGGCATGCTAGGCAAGGCATCTACCAACCAAGCTAAACCCTCAACCCCTTCTCCACAATTTTAAGGCACTGTTTCAAAACATCATACCATAAATGGTTACTTTGTTTTGTTTGGTCTTATTGTTACTGGGGTTTGTTTTGAGACAAAGCCTCACTTTGTAGCCCAGTTTTGTCCTAGAGCTCGCTAGTGCTGCAGCCTGGCTTCAAACTTGAAATCCTTCTGCCTAGGCTTCCAAGTGTTAGGATGATAACACACCGTACTATAAGCGATTATGGTTTGCCACATGTCAATAATTACTGCTATGGTTTGAACAGTGTTGAAAGGTGGGTCCTTAACAGGTAATAGGAGAGCTGAAGAGATGACTCAGTGTTTACTGCTCTTAGATGGGAGGGAGGAGTGGGAGCATTGAGAGGAGGGAGGGAGAACTGGGCTTGGAATGTAAAAATTAAATTAACAAACAAACAAAAAAGACACCAAAAAAACCAAAGAGTGCTTACTGCTCCTGCAGAGGACCTAGGTTTAGTTTCTAGGACCCACACTGGGCAACTTACAACTACTTGTAATTCTAGTTCCGGGGGATCTTGACACCTCTGGCACCTACATTCATGTGCATATACTTTCCCAAAGAGATAAACACATACATGTGATTTAAAAAACAAATAAATCTTTCTCTTAAGTAGGTGGTAGAGTAGAATGCCAGGTGTTGTGGTATATGTGTAGTCATCCATCCCTCAGTGAGGGGCTGGGAGTGTGGCTCTGTGGTAGAACACCTCCTTAGAATGCCTCAGTGAGGGACTGGGAGTATTGCTGAGTAAGCGGGCACTAGCCCACCATGTACAAGACCATAGGTTCAAACCATCCGTAGTACATATCCAAACACCAAAAACATAACATGAGCAATGACCCAATGACCCCACTGCCTCACTGGAGGCAAACGTATTTGTTAATAAATTTTAGAAGAAAAAAAGAAAAAGTAACTGTAACGATTGGGAAAGAGCTCCAACCAGATTGTTAAGTTTAACATTTAGGATCCAGAACAGAATGGGTCACAAAATGCCAACGTTGATGTGGCCAGAAAAGGAGGAAGTGTGTAAATGCATGATGTGTATGAATGCGTGGAAAAATTTTTATAGGAGCCGGAGCTTGTTTCAGGAACACGGAACGGGAAGGGGAAGGGGAAGATTGTTGTTTCTTTTGGTAGTGGCCAAGTCTTTGTAACAAGGAGTACCCATTAGCCTAATCATTTTAAGTAATATAATAAAACGAATTTAAGACGGGGGGGGGGTGGCTGGAGAGAAGGCTCAGCAGTAAAGGGGACTTTTCTGCTTTTGAAAAAGACTGGGGTTTGGTTCTCAGCACTGCATGGTGGTTACCACCTGCAACCACAGCCCCAGAGAATCCTACAGCTTTTCTTCTGAACCCTGCCAGCACCAGACATGCCTGAGGTGCACATACAGGCATACAAGCAAAACAGTCATACACACGAAACAGAACTAAGTTAACTGACGACTCAGATACAAATGGCTTCCCAGGTGGCTCTCGTTCAAAGCTGGAATCTAAGAAAGAAAGTTAAGGAGAAAGGAAGCATCAACTCCATCAGAAAGTCCAAGATGAAACCATCTTGGGGTAGGGGAACCCTCCTTTTATGGCTCCAGTGAGAAGCGCTGATGTAACTAGCATTGCAGGAAATCCTATGTCTGGCTGGCGCCCTGGACTATGCCAAGATCTGAGCCTACAGTTTACCTATGTAATTATATTAAATCTTTACCGCAGCCTGTTTTCCAGAGAAGGAAATGGAGTCTTCAAGATCCCTGGTTTGTTTAAGGCAGTGGAATGAAGATGATGGTCTATGAGCCAGTGGGAGCTCACTGACTCTGGACTGGGGAACCTGTATGGGACCAAACTGGGCCCTCTGGATGTGGGTGACAGTTGTATGGCTTGGGCAGTCTGTGAGGTCACTGGCTGTGGGACCAGGATTTATCCCTAGTGCTTGAACTGACTTTTTTGGAGCCCATTCTCTTTGTAGGGATACCTTGCTTAGTCTAGATATAAGCGGGAGGGCCCTGGTCCTGCCTCAAAGAGTTTGTTGACTGCCCATGGGAAGCCCTATCCTCTCTGAGGAATAGATGGGGTGGGGTGGGAGGGGGAGGGAGGAGAGTGGGAGGAGGGGAGGGAGTGGTATGTAAAATGAGAAAAGATTGTTTTAAAATTTAAAAAAAGTCAATGAAAGATGACGGTCTAGTTTAGGTCTCCTTAATATCCACATTCATGGTCTTCTATACTCACAACGGTCACTAAAGGGATGAAGAAAAGGGGAGGGAGAAGAGAGGGGAGGAAAGGGAGCAAGGAGGAAAGGAGTAAAGAAGAGAAGAGGAGGAGAAGGAGGGAGGAGAGGAAAGGAGAATGAGGGAAGGAAGGAAGGAAGGAGGAAGAAGGAAAGGAAGTGAGGAAAGGAGACGGGAGAAAAGGAAGAAAGAAAAGCAACAGGGGAGGTAGGGGTGAAGGGATGGAAAGAAGGAGAAAAAGAGAAGGAGAGGAGGAGAGGGGAACAAAGAAATCTGGGGCGAAGCTGGGCATTAAGGTAAAATGATCTGTTGGAGGTGGGGCGTGGGCAGCACAAAGGAGGGCATTTGGGGTGTGCCACTCACCGGTTCCTGTGAAGTCCGAATGACAGGCAGGCCCTGCAGAAGGTTAGGAGTCAGTTCTTCACAAAGCGTGTGACTACCTGCCTTCCCTCACTAAGAACCCTAGAATCTGATCATGCAGTTTCTTTTTCCTCTGGAAACTAAAAATCCTATCCCCACCTTTTTTAGGATCCAGCAAAACTCCAGACTTCCAGAACTGAGAAGCCAGTGGTCTGACTCAAGAGGACCTTTGCTCTCCCCCTTGGGGTCTGGAAGTCTGGATACCCTCTTTCCAAGGCAGGAGTCCTGCCCCTTTGCCGTGAGAACTGAGTATATTCCTTGACCATACATACTGTTTACTTTCCTCCTGCCTGGAGATCCAGAGAAACCTACGCCCACCCCAAATCCAGCAGTCTGTCTTCCCCCATTTAGGACTCGGGTATCTGGGTACCAGTCCTGACTCCTTTTTCTAAACTGGATGTTGAATTCCAGATGATCAGATACAGCTCTCAGTCCAGCCAAGGACCCACCCACCCATCCACCCCCATCCACACACACACACACACACACACACACACACACACACACACTCATGGGAGGGCCAGCTCACAGAGAGTCAACAGTTGGAGTATCAGCAACAGGGTCATGGCGGACACGTTCCGTGGAGCTAGGGAAAAGGATTGATCCTGCCTTCTGTCTGGTGGGGAAATGAAGTGACACCAGAAAACCACGTGAGAACCCAGTTTAGGGAAGAGAGGAGTCAGGTGGAGGAGGCCCCTGTGTCATAGTCCTGCTGTCTTGGAAAAAGTTGCCAGAGAACAGTCATAGCCTCTGGTGTTCATTAATGCATCTTAAAAGTAGGGGAGGAGGGCTGGGGAATATCGTAGCTAAGTGAGAGACTGCTAGCCCAGTGTGTTCTAGTTCAGGGGCTGAGAGGAGAAAGAAAATGAGGAGGGGGAAGGAGAAAAGAAAAGGAGGAGAGGGGAAAATATCCTTGGTGCACAATATATACTATGCTGGTGGAAAAGAGAAGGCTCAGACTCCATCACTGCCTCACAGTTCCGGGTCTCGCTCATTTAAGCCAAATACCTTCTTTGTTGTTGTTTTTAGTGATGTGCACGGTCTTGGAGGCTCGGGCTTGTAACCCCACCTACTTTGGAAAGCCAAGGCAAGAGGAACCACATATTCAAAGCTTGAGGGACCAACATTAGCCATTTAATAAAACCTTGTCTCAAAATAAAAACTAAAGACGGGGGGAGGGGGCACGAAAATGTGCCTTCAACATAGTAAAGGACTTGTCTAGAATCCACCAGCTAAAGCCTGAGGGCGTGGTTCAGGTGTAGCGCAAGAGAGGCTCAGTGGTATCCATCCTGCCCTGATTTCAGTCTCAAAATAAAAAACAAAAACAAAAATAAACAAACAAAAGACAGGGCAGGCCAGGCGGTGGTGGCGCACACCTTTAATCCCAGCACTCAGGAGGCAGAGGCAGGTGGATCTCTGTGAGTCTGAGGTCAGAGCACGAGGGGTTGGAGGCGTGGTAGAGGTTTCCATCTCCAGCGAAACCGAGGGGAGGGGGGAAAAAGGCTGCACGCTAGTAACATAAAACACAGAAAGTCCTTAATCTATTTGGTATCAATTTGGAACTTACAGAATGAGGGGATGACTAGCTGTGACTTCAATGTGAAACGGAATTTCTTGTAGGAAAACTCGAAGTGCTAGTTTGATGCGTCTGTTTGTTTGATTAACTGATTGATTGTTTTTTAAGCTAAAGTAAAAAGTTGTGACCAGCAGGTGTGAAAAGTCCCCGTGGTTTAAATCTTTGCTGCCAAGGTTCTCTGTTCTAGTCGTCTGAACCTCACTCCGGAACTACAACTCCCGAAAGCCTTCACGCCCTTCCTACTCCGAAAGCCGCGGCCCAAGGGGCGGAGCCCCGCGCAGGGAAAGGGACCACAACTCCCAGAGACCTCTGCTTCCTTGTCGCCTCCAAGACCAAGATGGCCACGAGTGAGTACTGGCCCCGGGGTGCGCGGGGCTCGGGTAGTTCCAGGGGGCCGTGGGCTGGCCCGTGGCTGAGGCTCAGGAGAGCTCTGGGGCGCGGTGGGATCCGTCCCAGGAGAGGGGCGCGGCGGTCACGAGGGTGCTCTTGCAGAGCAGGGCTGGTAGGAGACGGTTAGAGGTCACCGCAGCAGCCCCCAAGAGTGACTCTTCTCCCACCTCTCCAGGACTCACCACCTACCTGAAGAATGCCTGGGCGAAGGAGCCGGTGCTGGTGGTGTCTTTCTCGATCTGGGGCCTGGGTGAGTGCCCCAGGAGCGCATGTGCATCCTCCTCCCTGAAGTCGTCAGTGTTCCACAGTTCATCTTGCACACTCCTTTGCCCGTTCTACCCCGACATTACTGCAGCCCCCTTCCCTCGCCGCCCTACGCACATCTACGCAAGAGCACCTCTCACCCTTGCTTGCGCCTTGACTCCGAAGTGCAGAATTTGTCGGAGCAAATCTCCCAGCGAGACTCCCTGGTGAAGAGCCTGCTGTGGGACAGGGCTGTTCACCGTTCGGAGGCGCTGAAGCCCAGGAGGGCGGGGGCGACCTGTGAAGCAGACTCTGGTTCTGAAGGTCTGGGGGTTTGACAGTTACCGCGGTCCCACAGTTACTGTCGATGTTGCTGACCCGAAGTGTGATATTGAAGTTCTAGAACCCACCCATGACTTCAAAAGAGCTAGAGTGCTCTAAAGTTATGTGGCTTTAATGTAGCAAATATGTTGGGATAACGATTTGAAGCATACGCAATTCGTTCTTTGAAACTGTATGTGTGTGTGTGCGCGAGCGCGCGCTTATGTGCTTGCGCGCGCCCGTGTTTGCTGAAGTCTTTTCTCTCCTTCCTAGGGGTTTAACTCAGGTTAACTCAGTCTTGCCAGCAGGTGAAAGTATTTCACAACTCCAAGGCTAAATACTTCCTAGGACGGATTTTATTTTATTTGTACCTTTTCAGTTTTTTCTTTTATAGGGGAACACAGAATTTATTTAGCCCAAGTTGGCCCCAAACTCAAAGCAGTCTGCCTTGGCTCCTCAATTGTTGATATTACAGGCATGAGCCACCACCACCCCTGCAAATCTGTGTGTGTGTGCGCGCGCGAGCGCGCGTGCGTACGTGCATATGCATGCATGCCAATGGAGTCCAGAGGAGGGCACAACACCCTGTGTAGCCAGAGTTATAGACGGGTTAGTTGTGAGCAAATGAACATGGCTGCTGGGAACTGAACTCAAGTCCTCTGGGAGATCGGCAAGTGCTCTTAACTGATGAGCCAGCTCTTTATACCATCACCTTTTAACAATAGATTTTGTGTAGGAGTGTTTCTGTATGCCATATGAGTGGAAGTTTGTTGGACACCCTGGAGCTGGAGTTACAGTTGCAAGTTGTGAGCCATCCAGCCTAGGTGCTAGGAGCCAAACTCTGCAAAAACAAGTTCTTTTTTACTGAGCCATCTCCAGCCCTGTAAAGTCAAGTCAGCAACACTGGCCTCTTAGCATTCCTGTTATACTCCCCCTTGGCTAATCCAAAAGCTATCAACCCGCGACCACCTTTGGGCATCATGGTTTCCTAAGTGCTAGGCTCGGACCTCTCCGATACTCCCCAGTCTCAGGAGTTACACTGACCCCGTCAGTGGGAATGGTGGAGTGCTGAGGGACCCACCAAAGGGCCCTCCTGCTCTCCTCAGCCGCTTCATCCTTGGGCCTCACATTCTTGTCTTTTTCCAGCTATAATTATGCCCATGATCAGCCCCTACACCAAGTATGCCAGCATGATCAACAGGGCCACACCCTACAACTACCCAGGTGAGCCAAGACCTGTGCTTCGGGGAGGGGCAGACACAGCTGTGTGGGAGAGTCCCTGTTGCGTGGGGATGTCCTTTGTACTTTTAACATGCCTTGAGTTTCTCTCTCCAGGTTTCTGTTCCTCTCTGGGTTCCTCCACCCGTTAGAGATACCTCTCTCCCTCATTTGTCTGTTGCCTCCGCTGAATCTCTGGCCCTCACGCTCCTTTTTCTCACCTGGAGTTCTGTACTGTGTCTGAATATAGAGACAGGCTAGCTGCGCTCTACAGGACCCTAGGGACCTGCTGGTCTCAGTAGCTCATCCTTTTGTTTTCCAGTGCCTGTTCGAGATGATGGGAACATGCCCGATGTGCCCAGCCACCCCCAGGACCCTCAGGGCCCAAGCCTGGAATGGCTGAAGAACCTGTGAATACTCCTGCTGATGGAATTCTTCCCTGCTGGCCCCCAATTAAAATGTGAAGACAAACTCCATAGTCTTTTGCTTGTTGTTTTGAGAGATGGAAGTCTCACTATCTGTGTAGCCTAGGCTGACCTGGAACTCAAGTGTGCAGCCAGGGTGGCCTCATACACTAATGGCGATCTTCCGCCTGGGCCTCCAGTCCCAGTACCTGAGCGTTTCAGGGATGGAAGCAGCAGACAGTGGTCTAGACAGGTCTATGTGGTGGTGGTGATGGGGTCTGTTTATTGGGGAGACAGGGCTAGTCAAAGGGCGGGCTGGCTAGGGTAGGGTAGGGTAGCAGTTTGTCTGGCCCTCGAGAAACCCAACTTGAATCCAAGGCCTCATCTGCTTCAAAGCCAAAGTCTTCCTCGACCTTAATCTGGAAAGATAACGAGATGTGAGTGCATATGGAGACGAGTCACATCCCACCCCAAACGCCCAATCAGCCTGTGGGCACTGGTTTCCCAGGCCATTCACTGTCAGGCAACCCTGAAAAGCATCCGGCAGCTGACCTCCCCTTCTCCCTGTGTTCCTGTAGCTAGTCGTTCTCTTCTTCAAACTCTAGCCTAAATTTTCCAACTCCTCTTTCCTATCCTACGTGCCCTCCTCCTTGCTGCCACTCTGCCCAGCCCTCCCCAAGCCCCGACCGCTCAACGCCCAGCTCCGGATTCTCACCACGCCTTGGCCCCAGCCCTCGGCTCCCACCTGCACTGGGGCCAGTTCTGGGGTCAACGAAGCTCCCACCCGTGGTGCCCGCCGCCTCTTCCGCCCACTGGGCCCCTCTCCGGGGGCTGGACTGCTGGGGTCGAGGGGTACGGGTGTCCTTTGGGGTGGGGAAAGGCCTTCCTTCTCAGCATTGCCTGGGGTGGGGACATCTGTGCCTTGGCTGCCATCATCCTGGTAAGATGAGAATTGGAGGCAGTTGAAGATTGAACTGGACTCCGCACCTGGTTACCCCAAACTGCCTGGAGACCAGAGCTCACCTCCAACACAATGGTGAACTGGCTAGCCCGGTAGTCATCCCCGTAGGAGTCCAGCACCCTCATGAGGAACCTGTGTGCACAGAGATGCAGGCACTGGGGCATCTTATCTTCTGGGGGAGGGAAGTAACAGACGAAGAAGCCCAGATCTCCCTTTACTTCAAAGTTGTCCCAAACTAGAAAGGTCTGGAGCTCTGGAGCCTGAGAGCACCGCCCGGGAACCCGTCTGACCCAAAGTCTGTGAGTGACAGTTGACACCCTTGGTGGGGCTAGATGCTGTAAGACTGTTCCTAAGTTCACAGTGTGGTTGTCGGCATCTGGTGAACATTCCACTGAATTCCAGTTTTGTTGTTGGTAATGAATGAAGACTGAATCCAGGGCCTTGAACATGCTTCACAAGTATTGCACCGCTCAGCTAGGAGGCCCAAACTTCTCATTCATTTATTTATAAGACAGGTTTTCTCTGTGTAATAATAGCCTTGGCTATTTTTGCTTTGTAGACCACGGTGGCCTCCAACTCAGAGAGATCCACCTACCTGTATCGCCTGAGTGCTGGGATTAAAGGTGTGTGCCACTGCTTACTTCCTGCTGTCCTCTCTACTTACATAGAGCAAACACTCTGTCCTGCCGCTGACCCCAGTCCCAGGGGCCAGCTCTTCTCTCCAAGACCCAATCCCACTTCTCTGTTTATCTCTTTCTGGGCCCTTAGCCTCAGCTTTGCCCCTGTGCCTTGTGAAGGCGGTAGGCACGTGTGGGAACGGAGACACTGGGTCCCACAGCGCGTGCAGAACGGTACCTGCGCTCCTGCTGGAGTCTCCGAGTTATCCTTTGCACCTGGTGGAGCCTGTTCAAGACTCGCTCATTCACCTGCAGGAAGGCAGAAGGAAGGCAATGGTTCTGGCATTTGAAGACCCAGTTCCCAGCAGTTGGCACTATTTGGGGAGGTCTAGGAGGTGTGGCCTACTGGAGGAAGGACGTCAAGGCCAATAGTATAAAACAATAAAACGCAGCATTTAACTGGGGCTTGCTTATAGTTGTAGAGGGCTAGTCCATTATCATGGTGGGAAGCGGACAGACATGGCGGCTCTGGAGCAGTAGCTGAGAGATTTACATCCCGATCTGCAGTCAGCAAGCAGAGAGAGACTGGGCCCGGCATCAGCTTCTGAAACCTCAAAGTCCACCCCAAGAGACATGCCTCCTCCAGTATGGTCGTACCTGGTAATCCCTCCCAAGCAGTGGACTAACCAGGGACCAAGCACATGATCTACTAGGGCCACTGTCATTCAACTGCCACACCATCACGGGCTCAAGCTTTCAAAGCATGGTTCTCAGCTGTGGGTGGGAGACTTGAGGAAGTTCAGGAAGTGTATCAATTACTAGGGCTGGGCCTCTAAATGTTATATATACCCAGCCTGTGGTTCCTGTCTTCCTCTCTGCTTCCAGGTATGCAGTGATGTGAGAAGCCTCTTCCATATGCCCCACATACACAAACCGGGCCGATTCACCGAGCACCTCTGACAGGATGCACTGGAATTGTGGCCCAAAATAAAGCTTTCCTCCCTCTAAGTTGCTTCTGTTGGGTGCTGGGGGGGTCACAGAAACGTGAAAGTCGTTAATTCAAGCGGCAACGTGTCTGGGAGACACCAACAGTCTCCATGGCAGGCATTAGACCAGAAGATGGCCACTGTAATAAGGGCCATCAGAAGACCATGAGGCCGACACCTGAATGGTAAGTAGGAGACAAGTGAGTGGCAAGTCGGGAAGAAAACATTTCTGGATCTGGGAAGAGCCCCTAAAGTTTCTGAAGACTCTAGCCCAGACGTGGAAGGAAAGAGATGTGACTGAGACAATCAGAGTCTAGGACATGGGCTGAAGTATATGGTATATGTTCCTTCTGACCAGAAAGAGACGCAATTTCCTGGCTCTGCCACTCAACAGCCCTGCAGGGTCTCGAAGATTGCCCAATTACCTGAATTTGGGTTTCTGCATGTGAAATCTACTCTTAGCAGGTGGATTAAGAATGGAGGCTTAGGGGACGGAGCAACAGCTCTGCAGTTAAGAGCGCTTACTGGGTGGGGGTGGAGGGGTACTGGAGAGATGGCTCATTGATACAGAACACTAGCTGTTCTTCCAGAAGACCCAGATTCAATTTCCAGCACCCATATAGTGGCTAACAACCATTTGTAACTCCAATGTCCTAGTCCAGCCTCTGTAGGTTCTAAGTAGGCACAACATGATGCATGGACATACATGCATGCAAAATAGTCATAAACATTATATATAAACATGTATGTGTATGTACATTACACATATGTATATATGTTTATGAGTATTTTTTATATACTCATAATAATACACATGAGAAGAAAAAGCATTATGTATAGAGTGTGCTTGTTGCTCTCTGGGAACCAGATTACAGACCCCAGCACCCACACTGGGTAACCCAGGTGCATGATATCCAATGGCCCTTCGTTGGTATCCATCTACACTTTGTACCCACCTGCCACACAGTGTTTGGAATCCCTTCCCAACCTCCCGGCTCCCCAGCTTCTCTCCTTCCAGAGCCCACACATATCATTGTTATGGGTTATCACCCCCCAATCCTAAAGATTTGCTGGAATCCTAATCCACTACTTCAGGAAGTGAGCATTTTGAAAACAGGTTGTGAGGCTGGAGAGATGGCTCAGCGGTTAAGAGCACTGGCTGCTTTTCCAGAGGACCCGGCTTCAATTCCCAGCACCCACATGGCGGCTCACAACTGTCTGTAACTCCAGATCCAGGGGATCTGAAACCCTCACGCCAATGTACATAAAATAAAATTAATTAAAAAAAAGAAAACAGGGTAATCTCAGAGCCAGCCAGGTTCAACAGAGGTCAATGGAATAAAGCCCAACCTGGCTACTGTACTTACAGAAAGAAGATAATGACCCCCAACACACACACACACACACACACACACACACACACACACACACACACACAGAGAGAGAGAGAGAGAGAGAATCTGTGAGCAGATGAGGACACGAAATGGGGTGACGGTTCTGGGCACAAAAGAACACCAAAGATTTCCAGCGACTGTTAAAGCTGGAAACCGGGACTGCTTTTCCGTCAGCCCCCAAACACCCTGCTAACACCTGGACCATGTCTCTAAAACTGTCAGGAAAAGTTGTTCGTCTACCAGTCTGTGACACTTTATCACGGCAGCCAGCCAGCGCGCACAGGACGCAATCATCGGTAGAGCCTTTCAGGCATTCAGACCCGGCCCCGCCCCACTGGTTCCAAACTTCTTACCTGGTGTTCCTGGCTTACTAAGACCTACACTCTGCCCACTGCCCCTCCCGCCTCCTTTACCAAGGAGATGAACTGAAAGACTCGTGGGGTGAGTTAATCTGACACACCGGTTTCAGGGATGGAGGGAAGAAGGACCCGAGGGAGGTTTAAAAGAGGCAGAGCAGGTGGGCCTGGGGGAGCCTCGGGTCAGAGGGAGGGGATCCTATCTTATCTACGTTGCCGTTGACTCCGCGAGGGAGTGAGAAGTCACCCCGGAAGTCAAATCGGGTGTCTGATGCTGTGATGGTTATTACTTATTTTTGCAGCTTCACAAGATCTAAACACCGGAGAGACAGAACTCTATGCTCATCTGTGGGAGTCTCCAGATTGGTTTACTTGAGGTAGAAAGACCTTCTCTAAATGTGGGCAATGCCATTCCATGGGCTGAAATCTGGAACTTCATAAAACAAGCCAAGCACCAGTACTCCTCTCTCTCTCTCTCTCTCTCTCTCTCTCTCTCTCTCTCTCTCTCTGCTTCCTGATGCTGTTTCACCCTCTTGCCACCATGTCACGCCTTCCCCGCCATGAGGTATCCTCAAACTCTAGGCCAGAGTAAGCCCTTCCTCGAGTTGTTTTTGTCAGGTATTTTGTCACGAAACAAGAAAAGTAATGAACACAAAATGTTCTGGAAGAGAGCACTCGGGGTGCCTGGCAGAGCTCGACCCTCTTGGATCTGTTCATTTACTTGTTCTGGTACAAGAGGAAACGAAAAGAGAAGGAAATCGGGAGGAGGAGACAGTTTAAGCCAGAGGACCCCCAAATGGGAATCCACACTCACCTACCTGCTCGATCTCCCGGCAGCGCCGACCTAGGGCCTGGTACTTTCTTCTATTTAGTTCCCGTTGGCGACGCCTGCGACCCCGGGCTGCCTCTTCCTCTTCATCCCTCTCTCGGAGCCCTGAGCCGCCCAGACCACCGGACACAAACTCTACTTCTGTCTCCAGCTCACTCTCCAGGATGTGGCCTCCGAACAGGGGCGGCAGAGCAAGCTCTGAGCCTGGTGGCGCTGAGAACTCTTCAAAGCCTACGGCTGCCATGGTCCTGCGGGGTCGATAGGTTTCAGGAACCGGGCATTCTGGCTCCCCAGTTCCTCCTCGGATGCTCGGGTCCAGACCTTACCCCTCCTCCCTCACCCACATCCAGGGGTCCAGACCTTACCCCTCCTCCCTCACTCACACCCAGGGGTCCAGGCCCCTCTACCCTCCTCCCTCTCTCACACCCAGGGGTCCAGGCCCCTCTACCCTCCTCCCTCACTCACACCCAGGACTCAGGCCCTAGCCTCCTCCCTCGGTCCTTAGAGCCCACGCTCTCCTGCTTCCAGATCCATGGGGGCACACAAACTCCTAGGCTTCTCCCCGAGGATGCTCCAGTACAGCCCCCAGCACTCCAAAAAGAGATCCCAAAAGAAAGCAGTCGCACAAGCCACAATCCCCATCACTGCGGCCGACCGCTGCACACCACGCAGCTGCGTTCACGCAAAGCTCAGCCACTCACCCCTCTCTCTGTTCCAGCTCCATGTCTGGGGTCAGGAGAAACCCCAAGCCTCAGGTAGGTGGAGCCGTGCACGGAACTACCTGTCCCATCAGGCCTTGCGACCACAGGAAAGCTCAGGATCTCTTCTGGGGAATTGTAGCTTCCTGCCCCGACCTTCGCTTGCACCCGGCTGCCAACTGCGGCTGAAGGCCCTCGGCTTAGACACAGATATACATATCATCTGGCGCTTCCGCCGATCGTCTGCTTTGCCACCGTCTTTGTCTCTGCTGTCTCGCCGCCGTGTCACAGAGCCAAGGCGATTCTCCACTTAACTAACAGGCTCAACCCACGCCGTCGCGCGCGCACGCCAAGCCCCACTCTCCCGGCCCTCCCTCCCGGTCGCCGTCCAGCGAGGCCGCTCGCTGCTAATAAAGTTGTTGTCCAAACGCTGCCGGAAACGTCCCGGGGAGCGGCCAATCAGAACGCAAGGTTGCCGGCGCCTTGCAAAGACGTCATCAGAAGACGCCGGCAGCTCTGGAGTGGGGGTGCTGGTGAAGAGCGGATTTCTTAGAAACGGTCGTGAGAGCATCTAAGCGGTGAGTGTGATGGAGAAGAAGGGAGGGCGGGAAAGCCAAGCTACTGGGTGGGTCTGGAGGAAGGGGCCAGCTGAAGTCATAGCCCAAGTCATCACAAACGTGCGAAGCAGGACGTGCGTAAATCACAACATCGCTCAGGCTGGAATGGGGCATGCGGACTCTTACTAAATGAGACAGGTGGAACGTGCGAGCTGAAGGCAGGGTGAGGGTAAAGAGCCAGGTTAGGCAGAGGGAGATGACTGTCCGAAGACGCAGAGGCGTGCAGAAATGTTTGCCAGGCCAGGTGGCGCCTGGAGGGGTGTGCTGTAGGTAGTGAGGGTAGGAAGGAGCTGGAGACGTCCTCCATGAACAAAGCAAGCCGTGGACACGCCTGCATGCCGTTGGAGCTGATGAAGAAGAGGAAAGCTCGGGGGATTGGGGAGGAGGTGCTCCTTCTGGTAACAGGGACGGAGTCGAGGTGTGCTGTTAGGGAACCCATTCTCGCTCTCCCATAGGCCTTGGGATGTCTCTGGCAGATGAGCTCTTGGCTGACCTTGAGGAGGCAGCGGAAGAGGAGGAAGGAGGAAGCTATGGAGAAGAAGAGGAGGAACCAGCAATCGAGGATGTGCAGGAGGAGACGCAGCTGGATCTTTCTGGGGATTCAGTCAAGAGCATTGCCAAGCTATGGGATAGCAAGATGGTGAGATGGGGGTGGGTGGGTACAGGATGGTGAATGTTCCCGGGAGGAGGAGGGGGTAGGAAGAGCAATTCTTCTTTCCGAGAGCCTAGTTTCTGACTGTGGTCTCCTTCCCCATCAGTTTGCGGAGATCATGATGAAGATTGAGGAGTATATCAGCAAACAAGCCAAAGCTTCAGAAGGTACCTCTTCGCGCCCCGCCCTCCCCCCCCCCTTTCCTCTGCCCTTGTCCCACGGCTCTTTTGCTCCTTGCCGTTTTGAAAACTGAATGTCTCCCACCTCGGCTTTCCCCATAGCACTCACTGGCTGAGACAGGAGGTGCACCAGTTCGAGTCCAGCCTCAACCACATAGTCAGGTCAGGGTCGGCCTGGGGAAAACACTGTCTCAAAAATACATACCTATGTGGAGCTGGAAAGATAGTTAGGAGTATTTGCTGCTCTTCCGGAGGACTTGGGATTGGTTCTCAGCACCCACATGGCTCATAACTGTTTGCAAATCTAGTTCTTAGAGATCTAACACCTTCTTTTAGTTTCCATGGGCGTTGTACATACATTATGCACATCAGGCAAAACACACACATAAAATAAAAATTTTTGGAAGAAAGTGAGAAACTACATTATGTTAAAAAAAAAGAAAAAAAGAAAAAGAAAGGAAGTATATACACATTGTATTGTAAAACTGGTGCTTAAGCCGCCTTATGTGTTTTCTGGTTGTGAGAGGATTTATCTCTGTGTTCCTTGAACTATAGGGCTTTTCCCACATCCATAGACCATATATATGTATGTGTATATATTTTTAAATATGGAAACAGGGTATCACTCTGTAGCCCAGGCTGTTCTGATGTCATTAGGTAGCTTACAATGGCCTTGAACTCTCAGAATCCATCCTTTTCAGCCTCCTGAGTGTTGGGATTACAAGCATGAGCCACCACACCCAGCTTATAGTCCTTATAGATGGCACTGACTGGCCCTGCATTGGGCCAGGGAAGCAAGGCCACCTCAGTTGGCGTCTGAGTACTTGTGCTAACCTGGGAAGGAGCCTGGTCTGTCCCCAATCCTGAGTCATTGTGAGTGCCAGGAGACTCAGAGAAATAGTAGCTTCTACAGCCGAGAAGCTACTTGCCCCATAGACCCAAGGAAAGTCACAGAAAGTGACATTTCCTGATGTCAGGTCTGATGAGTCAGACCTGCTCACATCCAGTATCTATCTAACACAAAGCATGTCTAGCAGAGGTGGCCCAAGTCGTGACATGGAGAGAAAACATCTCACCCTTCTAAAAGGGGAGGGAAGTATCTTCACTGCCCTCTGAGTTTTAGTGACTTAAAGAGATATTTGATACACACGTTATTCAATGTCAGTACGATTACGTATAAGTTGAGGTTTTTAGAAACAGACTCAAGGAAGGAACATTCCATAGAGATGGGACAGTGTTCATGAAGGCCAGGAGGAATGGAACAGCCTTGAGTGTCGAGTGTCTGAGAGGATGAGGCCGGAAGACAGAAAGGCTGTGTGGAGCTGATGAGTCAGTGAACGACACCACCCCCGCCCCCAGTGACTCCTGTGCTGTATGCGCCAAGGTTGCAGGTGTAGGGAACAGGGGCCTGATACTCTCCCTTGTGGGCCTCCATCTAGATGGAGACCTTGAGTGCCAGTCTGAGGCTCTTGCTTGTTAGCCTCTGGGCTTCAGAGCGCCACAGGAGGGTTTAGTTTTGGAGCAAGATGAGGTCAAGACTACATTAGGCCAGAAGATGGAGTGCAGGAGAGATGAGAGGCAGGAATAAGGATCCTGGGGAGGTTCCCAATCCCCTAGTGATGTTTCAGCCCCTCCTTTCTGATGCCATCCAGCCTCAATATTCCCCAGCTTTGTGTCCCCTCCTCATCCTTGTTCCTTCTTCTTCATAGTGATGGGACCAGTGGAGGCAGCCCCTGAGTACCGAGTCATTGTGGATGCCAACAACCTGACTGTGGAGATAGAAAACGAGCTGAGTGAGTGATGGGAAGGGCCAGGGGACAGCCCTGCTTCTGCCCTTCACCCTTTCTCTGTGATGCAAAGGGAAGAATGGGCATGAATCTGGACCTCTTCTGTTTGCCTTCCTAGACTACTGCCCTGACCAGGTTTACCTTGTGTAACAGACTAACTTACTTCAGGAGAAAGTGCATTCTCCTTCCTGAAAGTCTGAGTAAACAGAGCAGGTCTAGAGTCACCCTTTGACCCCCTTCAGCGGCCAGACTCTGCCACCCATTTCCTGCTCCAGGATGATTGCTTCACTTCCACGTCCCTACCAGCAAATGGAGAGGGAAGACAGGGCATGGTTGTTTCCTTCAGGCCACGGTCTGGAAGTTGAAAATGCCAATTCAGTTCACATCTTGTAGACATGAGAACAAACTCCTGCCTGCACATAGCACTGGGGACAGCTAGGAAACGTAGACCTCATGCTGGCATCCATGCACCAACCCATGTTTTGGGGTTGTTTACTAGAGTTGCGAGTGGGTGTTGGGGACAGCAGCAGAGTCTGCCTCCCCCTCAGTGGACACCTGCCCTCCCTGTCCACTTTAGACATTATCCATAAGTTCATCCGGGATAAGTACTCGAAGAGATTCCCTGAGCTAGAATCCTTGGTCCCCAACGCTCTGGATTACATCCGCACAGTCAAGGTGAGTGGGGAGGAGTCTGGCCCTGGAAGAACTGAAGCCCTAGACCGTGAACCCTCGGGCCTAGAAATGATGGAGAGGCATGAGTGGGGGTTCAGTGGGAAGGGACAGATACTGGAAAGGGTGTCCCACACACATCTCTTGCTTCTCCCCGTGGTCTTGTGGGAGTATCCCCATTGGCCTGTCCCTTGCCACTGGCTGTCATTGGGTCAGGTGTCCTTTGAACTGGCATCTGACGCCGCAGCTAGATAAGAGCTAAGGTCCTGAGTGGGGACAAATAAGGAGGGAGTGAGAAGAGGCAGGGAGAGGAGCTTGGACAGGTCGGAAAGGTCAGAGCACACGGGGCACGGAAGGCTCGGGCCCCTCTGGGAGAAGTGACGGGAGCAGGCGGACGGGAAAGAGTGGGGGCCCTGCCTCTGTCCAGGCGGTGAGGGTGGTAGCAGAGGAAGTCTGTCTCCAGTGAGCTCCTGCAGGCTTCTTTAATGCAGCATCCTTGGAGGCCCCTTTGCAGAGCAGAGCAGAGCAGGCAGCGCTGGTGCTTTAAGCAGCCGGGTTGTTAACCTGTAAAAGGCAAGATGGTCTCCAGTATTAGCTTTCCCAGGCTCCTCAAGGGGAGACCTCTGTTTGTGTTGCAGCAAAGGAGCTTCTAGCATCTTCTGGGGGTTACTACGGTCTCTCTCTTTCTCCCCTTCCCGCCCTAGGAGCTGGGCAACAGCCTGGACAAATGCAAGAACAATGAGAACCTCCAGCAAATCCTGACCAATGCTACCATCATGGTTGTCAGTGTTACCGCATCCACCACCCAGGGGTAGGTATAGCACATGGTAAGGTGCTGCAAGCCTACCATAGGCCAGCTATCAGCTATCAGCTATCAGCGGAGACCAGGAAGGGCAGAAGGGGGTTCACGGGGAGGGTGCTGCTGTCTCAGAACTGTGCCCCCTAGGCTGATAGAACGGGACAGCCCCAGAGTTACACAAACACACGTGCATACAAAGCCGACAGGATGGGTGGGGCTGAGTACCAGTTAGATGTGTACCCAGCAGAACTGGGGGCTGTCTCCAACCCTTACCTGCTTCCCGATTCAGGCAGCAGCTGTCAGACGAGGAGCTAGAGCGGCTGGAGGAGGCCTGTGACATGGCACTGGAGCTGAATGCCTCCAAGCACCGCATCTATGAGTATGTGGAGTCCCGGATGTCCTTCATCGCACCCAACTTGTCCATCATCATTGGAGCATCCACAGCTGCCAAGATCATGGGTGAGTTCCCAGCTGGGTCCCATATTCAGCTGATTGGTTAGGCTGTTTTGGGGATGTGGGGTTTGACATTAGGAGCTCTGTTATGTTGCCATCTGGAGAGTGAAGCCAGCCAGCTTGGCACAGCAAATAATAGAAGTGTAGCAACCCCTTGTGGGTACAGCTGGCTTAGCAGGTTGTACAGATGGTGGGCCATCCTCCTCCTGCCAGTGGGTCCATTTGGGCCCTTGGGCTTTCCTACTGCACAGGGCAGTGATCCTGCCATGTGCTCAGTTCCTCCTCCCAGAAGCTCCTGTAGCCAGAGTCCTCCCTTTCCTTGCGGGGAGAGCTCACAGTGGGAATGTGGGAAAGCCGCCATCTTTGGTCTCTTAGCTTTGGTCTTGAGTCCTCCAGGCCAGGACACTTATGCTCCTGAGGCTGCTGTTCAGAGTCTGAAACCAAGGTGCTTCTGGGGTTGCTTTCTCCCTAGACCTCTGCTTGCCTCAGGCATGTGTTCTGTGTCTTCATGCAGCCATGCTGCTGTATCTGTAGCCTTATCTCCCCTTCCCACAAGGATGCCAGGCCGACAGAATCAGGATCCATACGACCTCACTTTATCTTAACCCTCTCCTTAAAGATTCTATGTCCTGGATCAGAAAGATGGCACAGCAGGTAAAAAAGTACTTTTCACCCAAGCCTGACAGCCTGAGTGTGATCCTCGAAACCCACATGAAGGTGGAGAGAGCTGACTCCCATAAATGTCCTCTGATTGCCATGCACATTACACACACACACACACATACACACACGATCCTATATCCTTCCAGATGCTGTGGCTTAAACCAGGAATCCCAGTGTCTGGAAGGCTGAGGCAAGGAGGATTGCTTTGAGTTTGGGGCCAGCCTTGGCTACTAAGTAAATTACTGTCTCAAACCAGCAAACAAATGAAGGTGCAAATCTGTCTTAGGCACTGTTCTGTTGCTGTGAAGAGATTCCACTGTCGAGGCAACTCTTAGAAAACATTTAACTCGGGGCTTGCTTACACATTTAGAGGCTGATCATGGCTTCGCAGCAGGCGGGTGTGCTGCTGGAGAAGTAGCTGAGAGCTACATCCTGATCTGCAAGCAAAGAGAGAGATTGGATGTGGCATTCTTTTGAACCTCAAAGCCCACCCCCAGTGACACACTTCTTCCGACAAGGCCACACCACACCTCCTAACCCTTCTAACCCATTAAAGAGAGTCACTCCCTGGTGACTGAGCATTCAGATACATGAGCCTGTGGGGGACATTCTTACTCAAAGGTACACATGAGCCCCCAGATGTGAACCCTGTGTTCTGACCTCACCTCTTGTTGCAGGTGTGGCCGGAGGCCTAACCAACCTCTCCAAGATGCCTGCCTGCAACATCATGCTGCTGGGAGCCCAGCGCAAGACCCTGTCTGGTTTCTCCTCTACCTCTGTGCTGCCTCACACCGGCTACATCTACCACAGTGACATCGTGCAGTCTCTGCCCCCAGTGAGCCCTACGCCTTGTCCACTGTCCCCAGCCCTCATGCCTTGTCTAGTTTGGCTGACAGTAACACTCAGGAGCCTGGAGGATAGGGCAGCATGTGGAGTAGCAAGGACACAATTGTGGGGCCACCACTTGGCAGTGAGGATGGTGGGTGGTTGGACGCTGGGAACCCTGCCATTGGGCAGCCAGAGTACACCCTCAAGAGGCTGTTATGTTAGTAGATAGGCCCGTAGGCGTGGGCCACCTCCTAGAGCGTGGGTCCAGCTGGGCCCGGATGAGCAGTGACCGTTTGTGCTGGCTGTTACCTTGCCTCTAGAGGCTCACAGTTTTCTCTCCCCTTTCCATTGCTCCAGGATCTCCGGCGGAAGGCAGCCCGGCTGGTGGCTGCCAAGTGCACTCTGGCAGCCCGTGTAGACAGCTTCCATGAGAGCACAGAGGGGAAGGTGAGGAGGGGACAGGCGTCTGTCCCTGGGGCTCGGAGTCTTTTCATGAGAAGAGGCTACTTGAGAGGGCTCTCCTGGCTAGCAGACAGACACAGTGTCTGCAGCCCACTGTGCATCAGTTGTATAGGACAGCTATACCAGATCACTGTAGACGGGGTAGCTTCATACACAAGTTTGCCAGGCCTGGTAGCTTCTATCTTTAACCCCAGTGTTTGAGAGGAAGAGGCAGGAAGATCACTAGTCGGAGGCAGCCTGGGTTATATGATGAGTTTCAGGCCAGATGAGACTGCATAGCGTGACACTGTCTGCAAAAAAAAAGCACAGGGCTAGGATAGATGTGGCTCAGTCAGTCAAGTTCTTGGATGCAGGCATGAGGACTGAGTTCAGTTCCCAAACTGGCTGGGGGGGGGGGGGAGGCAACACAGCAGTACATGCGTGTAATGCCATTGCTGGAGAGGTGGAGACAGGAGGGTATCTGGGACTTGTGGGCCTGTCAACCAAATCATCAAGCTCTAGGTTTAATAGAGACCCTGTCTCAAGAAATAAGTTGAGGAGCGAGTGTAGAAGGCAGGTGATGTCAACCTGGCCTCAGATGTGCACACACATACACAAAGTCTCACCGCACTAACACCAGGGTGTTAGCTGGGCAGAAATGTTCCTGCCCCTGTCAGCACCAGAGGCCTGCAGCCAAGACAGCATCTCCAGCTTCTCTGACTCTGCTAGTTTGCGGCCCCTTGTAGGTTGTTGAGCTCACACTGACAATGCAAGGTATTGTCACATCTGCAGAGATCCTCTGCCATGTGATCTATAGTTACAGATTATAGAGACCGGGACACCAAGGCAGATCACTGTGTTTGGGGGGGGGCAGTGTTTTGCCTACCACAATAGGGCCCGTCCTCCGCTAGTACAGACATGACTGTAATAGTACCTTCTGCTTTCCTGGGTGGGCTCAGGAAGCACTGAGTCTCTGCTGTGTGCATCACTCTGCCAGAAACTCCATCACATCTTAAGTCAGGGTTCAGTCTCTCTCTCTCCCCCCTCTCTCTGCCTTTTGCCACTGTCTAGATGAGGCTTTATAGCAGGGAATTACACAGATGCAATGGGTCCAGCAGTGCTGTGTGAATACCAGGGATGCTAAGGGGAATTTGTTGGGCAAGGAAGCTTAGGTTCCGACTCAGCTAGGATGTGAGGAAGAGCTTTGAGGAAGTTTTGGTGTGGGCCTGAGTGAGGTCAGAGTCAGTTGTGTGGATATTGTGCTACCCACTTGAAAGAGTGTTCAAGCAGAGGGAACAGTGAGTGCAAAGGGCTGGAGTTGGGTGGACCCCAGCAGGGAGAAGAGCCTGCTGCACCTAGGAGCCGATAGTGTGTAACCTTTGGGGCCTCTGGCTGCTGCAGAGACAGAAGCAAGCCAGATGGGATCTGCTCTGAGAGGCCAGGGGGCTCTGTGGTGGGAGAGTGGCGTGGGGTGGCAAGCTGTCTGCTGACTGGGGAACACGGATTCTGCCTGGCCCGTTTATGTTCAAAGGACTGGGAAGGAAGCAGTCACTCAGAGAGTGCAGAGCTTGGTTGTAAGAGCTAACCCCGAGCTACAAGTGCAGGACAGCATCCGTGGCCCAAGGAGGACAGATTAGTCATGGGGAGGGTCCACTGTCAGGTGAACAGATATACAGTATATGGGGTTGATGATGCACAGACATGTGACCTGGGGAACAGTCTGTATGGCTGGCTACAGCTTCTCCCCAACTCCCTGCCCAGGTGGGCTACGAACTAAAGGATGAGATTGAGCGCAAGTTTGACAAGTGGCAGGAGCCGCCACCCGTGAAGCAGGTGAAGCCCCTGCCTGCGCCCCTTGATGGGCAGCGGAAGAAGCGAGGGGGCCGAAGGTGAGGACTCTGGTGGGGCTAGAAGTGGGGAGGGGGTGGGGGAGGAGGCTGGCACCTTCCCAGCCAACTGCCTGTATCCCATTGACACCCACCTTCCCCAGGTACCGCAAGATGAAGGAGCGGCTAGGGCTGACCGAGATCCGGAAGCAGGCCAACCGCATGAGCTTTGGAGAGGTCAGGCTTGCTCCACAGTAGCAGAGGGACCTTGAGGGTTCTCTCTGCACATCCTGCTGCCATCCCTCCTCTCCACCCTGTAATCCCAGAGCAGAAATGGGGCTACCCCAGCCTCCCTCCTGCCTAGCCTGTCCGCTCAAGCCACCTCCCCCCCATGGTGACCTTTGCAGTGCTGAGCTGGCTGCCACCCAGCTCCCCACGCTGCACCTATGTCTGACCATCATCCACGAGGTTCTGAGAGAATCTGCTTAGGTGCCATCTCAGTAGCAGCCCATCCCAGTTCTTCACAGGGTTCCTGGCTATACCCAAGCAGGGTTGGGCTGGGCTCTCACAAGGTCATTTAAGTGCAGTCGGTTCCCCCAGCTGAGTGGGTGTCCATGAGATCTGCTGATTGGAGTCCCTGGGTTTTCAGTGGACTGTCCTGGGGGACTGGCTGAATGTGGCCAGCTTCCTAACAGCAGGCCACTTCCGTCTCACCAGATTGAGGAGGATGCCTATCAAGAAGATTTGGGCTTTAGCCTGGGCCACTTGGGCAAGTCAGGCAGTGGGCGTGTGCGGCAGACACAGGTGAATGAAGCCACCAAGGCCAGGATCTCCAAAACCCTGCAGGTATGGCCGGGGCCCATGGGAAGGGGAGGCAAGTAGGACATGGAGGCAGGGAGCCTTGCATCGTGGCCCTCCCCTTTCCCTGCAGCGGACCTTACAGAAACAGAGTGTGGTGTACGGCGGGAAGTCTACCATCCGTGACCGCTCCTCAGGGACAGCCTCCAGTGTGGCCTTCACTCCACTCCAGGTACCAAACCCTGCCCTGCCAGGCATGTAGTAGGGTTGTTGTGGGAGCCCCAATGACCTAACACATGAAAAGCAGAGGCAGCCAGAGCCTCATAGTAAGTGCAGATGGCTGCCAGTGACAGCTCTGGCAAGCGCAGACCAACTTTGGAACTGGACCTAGGACTCTGTCCATGTGGCCCAGGTACTCTCTGAGCTTCCTAGTCTTTGCTTTGAGATGGCCCTAGTAGTCAGGGTAACCCAAGGTGTACTTGAGTGTCACCGCAGCCCAGTGGCATTGAACGGTGTGAAGCAGAACGGCCCCTGTTACTCACCACAGAGGCAGGCAGATGTGTCCTGTACCGTCACAAGCTTGCTAGAATGAGTCGAGTATACACTGCATTAGAAGGCCATGGGTACCACAGAGAAGCTGCAGTGAAAGGTGCTGAGGCCAGGACAGGCCCAGCAAGAAGGTTGGAAGCAGCCAATATGGTGCCAGCATCATCATCACTGATGGTGTGAGATTTGCAGGACACTCTGGATGGTCACGTCCCTCTAAGGCTCAGTTTCCTCATCCGGAATCTGACAGGAGTGGTTTTTTAGCATCACCTGAGGATGTTAGCAATCCTGATACCCAGGCCCTGCCCCCACACCCACTGGGTCAAAATCTCCCGAACTGAGGGAGACTCCAGGGACTGCAAACAGTTCCGTGTCCGCTATGGTGTTTGGGGGCTCTGACATGTCTGGTTCTCATACAGCAGGGAGGCCTGAGCCTCCCCACCTTACCTGTCACCCTCTCCCTTTGCAACTCAGGGTCTGGAGATTGTGAACCCACAAGCAGCGGAGAAGAAGGTGGCAGAGGCCAACCAGAAGTATTTCTCCAGCATGGCTGAGTTCCTCAAGGTCAAGGGTGAGAAAAGCGGCACCATGTCCACCTGAAGGGCCCACCCCCCCGCTGGAAGGACACGGAGGGCTGGAGCTTCTCAAGTGATGGATACCCAGCAGGGAAGGGGCCACCCGCTGGAAGGACACGGAGGGCTGGAGCTTCTCAAGTGATGGATACCCAGCTGGGAAGCTGTGGTGGAGGCAGCCTGCCCTGCCCTGCCCTGCCCTTGGCCCAAGGCCAGAGCATCCAAGGAAAGGGGTGAAGAGACTTGGTCTGCCTCCCCCAGCACCCAGACCACTGCTGCCCCCGTTAAGTGGGCGAGGTCTTCCTCACACTCATCTTTTTTACTTACATGGGGAAAGGAAGTGATTTTCTAGAAAGAGTACAATTAAATGCTCAGTGTCAGGCTCTGACCAGAGGGTGAGATTAATTGTGAAAGACCCAGAGGAGTCAGAGCTGTGGGGTTTCCAGTCCAGCTATCATGGACCCAGCTCTCTTCTGCTCCTGTCCTGACATCTAAGAAGAGAAAAGCCCCATCCATCCCTGACATCTCCACCCAACCCATGAGAACCTACCCCAGCATCGTGGCCACAGGGTTATTGTGATCCCTCAGGCTAGACGCCTCCTTGGTCTGTGATCCACACCTGGGACCTGGGAAGTGTCTGCAGAAAGCGCCCAGCACTGGGCTGACTGGAGAGCCAGTTGTTTTAATCCATGTTGAATGAGGGGGCCATGCCTGAGTGCCGTGCCCTGCCCTGCCCTGCCCTGGGGGGCACAAATGTCAGGTAAGCAAAAGAAACGCACACTACCCAGTCTGACTTGAGAACAGTGCTCATCCAAGGGACAAGGTAGGACAGGGTGGACCATGTTTGGTGTGGTAGGAATCTGTCTCTGCAGAAGGTAAGGGAGAGCTGCTGCTGGGCTCCAGTTTTCTCAGCTTGAGCTTAACTCTGACGGTCTGAACGTGGGCCCAGCTGCTGAGGTCAGGACTTGTCTTACTTATAATTTTGGCAGGTCTGTCTTGGACCCCACTCTACCCTGATCCCAGTCCCCTGTGTGTCTGCTAGGGAAAGCTCTTTGTCCAGCACTCCCTCCAGAATCCCTACGTGGTCCCTGCCTGACTTGTATCTGACATTGCCAGTGGTGGGTGGAACAGAAAATGAAGATGTGAGTCTCTAAAACATGGGTGCTAGTCCCAGATTTAGTTTTGCTAAAGTCTAGCTCAAACACATGTATTGCAGCCTGTAACCCTAGCTACCCAAGGGACCTGAGCAGGCAGGTTGGAAGCTCAAAGCTACTTGGGCTACATACACAGTGAGTTCAAGGCCAGCCTGGGCTGTAGAGGAAAAAAAAAAAAAAAAAAAAAAAAAAAAAAAAAACCCCGCTTCCAAAAAAGCTGGGGCAAGATCTGGAGACAGAGCACTCTTGGTAAAGTGCTCTTCATAAAACCATAAAAACCTTGGGAGGCGGATCTCTGTGAGTCCGAGGTCAGCCTGGGCTATAGGGCCTATTCCAGGACAACCAGAGCTACTCAGAGAAACCCTGTCTGGGGGTGGGGGGGGGGAGAAAACAAAAAACAACAACAACAAAAAAACAAAAGCAGTGTAAGAACCTGAATTCAATGCTCAGTACCCATATAAAATGCCAAGAATGGCATGTGCTTGCCATCCCGATGCTGAGGAGGTGGAGACAGGTGGATCACTGGGGCATGCCTCCAGCCTCCTTGAGTCCCAGGTCCTGATAGTGGCTTATAGTTAAAAAATAGTCGGTGGCACACGCCTTTAGTCCCAGCATTCAGGAGGGAGAGGCAGGTGGACCTCTGTGAGTTTGAGGCCAGCCTGATCTACAGAGCTAGTTCCAGGACAACCTCCAAAGCAATACAGAGAAGCCCTGTCTCCAAAAACCAAAAAGAAAAAAAAAGAAAAGAAAAAGAAAAACTTACTGAGAAGCATTTTCACCTACACACGGTACATTTAATACATGCATATATGTACACACAATTTCAGGAAAGGGAGTTGGCTGGAGAGATTTCTCAGTGGTTAAGGACATTGGTTGTTCTTCCAGAAGACCCTAGTGTGATTCCCAGCACCCCTGTGGCAGCCCACAACAGTCTATAACTTCAGCCCCAGAGGATATGACATCCACTTCTGATCTCCCTGGGTACCAGGCACACATTTAGCATAGATATACAGGTAGGCTAGACACACACACACAGAGAGAGACTGTAAATGTTTCTCAAGGGCCAGGAATGCAGCAGTTCACCTCAGGGTACTTGCCTAGCTGTGTTTTAAAATGGCTGCTGGGTGTGGTAGCACACGCCTTTAATCCCAACACTCCTGTGCAGAGATCAGATTTACATGAGTTGCAGGTAAGCCTAGTCTATATAGTGAGTTCCAAGGCGTACAAGTAAGATCCTTAAAAAAAGGCGGAAGCTGATACATGGCTGCACAAACTTGTAGTCTCAGCACTTGGGAAATGGAAGCAGGAGAACCTGGAGTTCAAGGCCATCCTCCACTACAAAGCCAGTTCTAGTCCAGCCCCTCCTACATGAGAGGTGAGGTGTCTGGGCGGGGAGGGATAGGATAGCTCAATAGTAGGTGCTTCCCTATCATGTGACACCCTGGTTTAAAATCTCCCTGATTCGAGAAAGAAAAGTGCATTTCCATGTGATGTTTATGGTGCTGACTAAAGGAACTTGCCTGGAGGAGTTTGTTTTTAAATCGGCTGGCTGCACGCTGTAATTCTCAGGGATTCACACCTCCAGAGGTTGTAATTGTTGTTGCTTGAGCCTGGGGTATTTGGATCCCCCACCCAACCCCAACCAACTTCCCAGGTGATTCTAACGTGCAACTAAGCCTGAGAATCATCGTCCTGTTCTTGGGGCCATCAGCATGCCCTGGGAGCTTGCTAGAAAAAGCAGAATTGAAGAACACCTAGATAAGCTGAATCTTAACAAGTCCACAAGGGATTCCTGACGAGGCCAGGAGCAGTTCGTTCCACACTCAGCTGTGTATGAATAAATAAACGCTAAAAAGACTGTGGGTGTTAGGAAAGTCTGGACAAATGCAGGTTCCTGGGTTTCACTTTAAGTCTATGTGACCCTTAAAATACGCATCTTAAAAGTGTTTGTGTGAATGTGTTAGTTTAAGTACACCAGCAGCGCCGGGATGAGGGAATCAGATACCCTGGAACTGGTGTTACAGGCATGTGAGCCACCGTGTGGGTGCTGAGAACAGAATTCCAAGTCCTGCAAGAAAGTGTGTCTTAACTGCTGAGCCATCACTCCAGCAGAAGGATACGCTTTTTTAAAAAATTTAATTTAGAAACAATCTTATTTTACACATCAGTCCCAGTTCCCTCTCCCATCCTTCCATGCCCCCCCCCAAAGATACATTTTTGTATAAGCCATTTCTTCTTCTCTTGCTTCATGCCATTCTGGTGGGGACTCTTCAAGTTTGGATTTATTTTAGTTTCCTTCACCCAGGCAGGCAGAGATAGATTTGGCTTCCCAACTCATGAAAACGTGGTGCTCAAGAAGTTCTCAACACAAGTCATTGGTGGGACTGTTCACCTACTAATTCAGCAAAAGGCTACGGAGTGCGTTCTGAGTGCTAAACACTGATAAATCCAGACAGGGAGACCCAAATGAGTATTTTTTTTAAAAGGCAGGACTTGAACAAAATTGGAGAGGCTCGCCTAAGCACTCTGCAAGGGTGGTCAGGGAAGTTTACTACCTAAGAAAAGAAGCATAATAGAGCTCTAATAAGTAGTCGTTGCAGATGTAGTCGAGGTAGGGTAAAGCGCAGCTTCTTCTGCAACTTCTGCAGCTACAACAAGCATCCTTGCAACATTAAAGAAACGGAGGCAGACTGTCCCACACACAGTCCGCTCGCTCACTTACTCGGAGGCAGGGCAGACCTGTGCTGTGTGCTTCTCAGTCACTTCTGCTGATTCCGCCTTTCCTTCCCCCTCCCGAAAGCACTGAGTTTTAGAGTTTTAGTTTTAGAGACATGCCAAGCATAGGCACCTGGGGAGCGATTGTGAGGATCAGAAAACAGCCTGGACGGCAGGAATAGGGAAGGATGCTCCGACAACCACACCTGTGGGCAGCATCCTCCGAAAAGCTACCCCATTGGCCAAGCGGACGGGACTGCCAAGGGAAATGGGGGGGGGGGCTTCTCGTCTGGCTCCGCCCCTTAGGCCTGGCGGCTGTCTTGATTGGCAGATCACTTGGGCTCAATGCCCCCCCCCACTCCAGTCACCTGTCTGTCTTCGGCCTTTAACACCCACGCTGCATGCCTTCCGTCGTTTCCCCCACCCACTTCCACCACCAACCAATGAGTGCGAGGCAGACATACCTCTCAACCAATCACAGCCGCCCTCGAACTTGACGGACGACTTCCCGCCCCTCACCGTGACTCCTCCCCGCGGCCAATTGACTTAGGAGAAGGGGGCGGACACGTCCAATCAGCACGACACAGGCCTCCTGATTGACGCTCAGGGCCTCGCGCTGGCGTGTTGTGCTCCGAGGCGGGGAGGAGGGAGGAGGAGGAGCCGGGGAGGGGAGCCTCAGCCAATCCCAGGCAGCTGAGCGGGAGGCCAATCGAACGCCGCGCCCCGCGGACGGCAGCCAATCCCAGCGAGGGGGCCGGCCGCATCCCCGCTAGGGACCAATGGGACGCGCCTTGCGGCGCAGAGCGACGTGCTGCGGGAGCAATGACGGACCTATATTCGGGGCTCGGGGGCGGGCCGGCGCCAGAGACGAGGAGAGAGGAGGGGAGGCCTCCTCCGCCGCCGCCATCTTGGACCGGGCCCGTTCAGCTTCCGTGGAGCCGTCGGCAGCCGCCGCCGGGCCTTCCCTTGAGCCCCGAGTCCCCCTACTCGGTCGTCTAGAACAGCCCCGGGCCCACTTCCTCTATCAACAACCCAACCCCACTTCCGGCTTTCGCGCCCTCTTATCGCGATAGCGCCCGGGCTTGGGGCGCGAGGAAAGAGGAGGAAGAAGAAAAAAAAGAAAAAAAAAAAAAGAGAGAGAGAGAAGAAAAAAAAAAAAAAAAAAAAAGGCGGCCGGCGGGCGGGCGGGCGGGCGCTCGCCTCTGTCTTCTCCTCCTCGCCTGTCGCGATACGCTCCGCAGCGGCGGCGCCAGCTCCTGCGGTGAGAGCGAGCGAGCGAGCGTCAGGCTCGACCGGGCCGGGCCCCCTTCCCCTCTCCCCCTCGGCGCGGTCGGCCGCCTCCCCGCCCCGCGACCCCCTCCTCCGCCTGCGCCTGTCGCGGCACGGCCTCCGCGCCCGCCGGGCCCTGGCTCTGCCCTGGCCGCGCGCTCGGGCCTGGCTGGCTTCGGCGCGGGCCGGCGGGCCGGGAACCTCCACTCTGGAGTCCTCCCTCCCTCCCGCGTCCCGATTCCCGCGTGGC